ACTCTCCACCCTTAGCCTCTCCCTATCGTTTCCCCTTCCTGTCCCCTCGTCCTTACCTCTTCCCGCTTTCCTTCCCGGCATTTCTGTCTCCCCGGCCATAGGCAGGTCGGGGTCGGCCCCCGTTCCCAATTTTAAGTAATATCGGCCTTTAAATCCACCCCCCCCCCATCCCCCCCATGCGACTTTCCGAAAGGTCCGAAATGAAATCGTGGATTTGTTTTCCATAGAGTTTATAAGTTACTTCCACTATTTAAGCACATATCTTCATAATTTAGTAAAAGCGATGAACAGAATTCACTTGGGTTGCGGTGATGGAGATAGTGAGTAGTGAAGATGGTTATGGTGATATTATATATAGTGAAAATAGTACATAGTGAAGATGTAAGATGAGGGGGGAGAGGGATGGTGGATGATGAGGAGGTAGAGATGGAAATGGGGTTGAGAGGAAGGAGAGACGGAAAAGGGAGAGTGAGAGAGGTTGGGGAGAAAAGGAGGGCAGAGGGGGGAAGGGGGTTTTGAGGAGGGGGGTAAGGAAAGAGCAAAAGGAAAAGAGGAGGGGGGGAGATGGGAAAAGACCCGGGCACCGCCGGTTACAGCTACAGTACAAATATATAAAAAAAACACCTTCAATAACGACGTAGGGAACAGGAACTGGAACGTTACAGTTCTGATCTCCCTAGAATTTACTGTTCTGATCTCCCTGGAGTTTACTCCTCTGATCTTCCTAAAGTTTACTACGTCGATCTCCCTAGAGATCAGCGAGATAAACTCCATGGGGTAAGCACCATGGAGTTTACTATTCTCCATGGTAAGGTACACTTAAGTAATACATGCAAACTAGGAACGTCTGTGTAAACTAGAATGTATATTTTGCTGATGTGTTTATTGTCCAATAAGGTTGTGTGTGTATATATATATATATATATATATATATATATATATATATATATATATATATATATATATAACTGAAAACTCACACCCCAGAAGTGACTCGAACCCATACTCCCAGAAGCAACGCAACTGGTATGTACAAGACGCCTTAATCCACTTGACCATCACGACCGGACAAAATGAGGTGATAGCCGAGGCTATTTGAACCACCCCACCGCCGGCACTCGGATAGTTATCTTGGGCATAGCATTTTACCAAATCACCTCATTCTTTGGGGCACACGTGAGGAACACAAATGCGAACAAGCCTGAATGGTCCCCAGGACAATATGCAACTGAAAACTCACACCCCAGAAGTGACTCGAACCCATACTCCCAGAAGCAACGCAACTGGTATGTACAAGACGCCTTAATCCACTTGACCATCACGACCGGACAAAATGAGGTGATAGCCGAGGCTATTTGAACCACCCCACCGCCGGCACTCGGATAGTTATCTTGGGCATAGCATTTTACCAAATCACCTCATTCTTTGGGGCACACGTGAGGAACACAAATGCGAACAAGCCTGAATGGTCCCCAGGACAATATGCAACTGAAAACTCACACCCCAGAAGTGACTCGAACCCATACTCCCAGAAGCAACGCAACTGGTATGTACAAGACGCCTTAATCCACTTGACCATCACGACCGGACAAAATGAGGTGATAGCCGAGGCTATTTGAACCACCCCACCGCCGGCACTCGGATAGTTATCTTGGGCATAGCATTTTACCAAATCACCTCATTCTTTGGGGCACACGTGAGGAACACAAATGCGAACAAGCCTGAATGGTCCCCAGGACAATATGCAACTGAAAACTCACACCCCAGAAGTGACTCGAACCCATACTCCCAGAAGCAACGCAACTGGTATGTACAAGACGCCTTAATCCACTTGACCATCACGACCGGACAAAATGAGGTGATAGCCGAGGCTATTTGAACCACCCCACCGCCGGCACTCGGATAGTTATCTTGGGCATAGCATTTTACCAAATCACCTCATTCTTTGGGGCACACGTGAGGAACACAAATGCGAACAAGCCTGAATGGTCCCCAGGACAATATGCAACTGAAAACTCACACCCCAGAAGTGACTCGAACCCATACTCCCAGAAGCAACGCAACTGGTATGTACAAGACGCCTTAATCCACTTGACCATCACGACCGGACAAAATGAGGTGATAGCCGAGGCTATTTGAACCACCCCACCGCCGGCACCCCAACGCAACCAGTTGCGTTGCTTCTGGGAGTATGGGTTCGAGTCACTTCTGGGGTGTGAGTTTTCAGTTGCATATTGTCCTGGGGACCATTCAGGCTTGTTCGCATTTGTGTTCCTCACGTGTGCCCCAAAGAATGAGGTGATTTGGTAAAATGCTATGCCCAAGATAACTATCCGAGTGCCGGCGGTGGGGTGGTTCAAATAGCCTCGGCTATCACCTCATTTTGTCCGGTCGTGATGGTCAAGTGGATTAAGGCGTCTTGTACATACCAGTTGCGTTGCTTCTGGGAGTATGGGTTCGAGTCACTTCTGGGGTGTGAGTTTTCAGTTGCATATTGTCCTGGGGACCATTCAGGCTTGTTCGCATTTGTGTTCCTCACGTGTGCCCCAAAGAATGAGGTGAT